TGCAAATTTAATATATATAATTAAACTGTATTTAGCATTAGAATTGTAAATGTCTTTGGATAGCTTAATAACATAACATTATACACTAATTTACTAAAAATTACTTCAACTATTTAAAATCATTCTCTATTCTGTCGCTCGGCATTTCCATCGCCATGAGTCTACAATTAGTCGCCTTAGAAACCGCCTGAGGCAAACAGGACGAGTCAACGACAGACCCAGATCAGGCAGACCACGGAAAACAACGCCACGCGAAGACCGTCACATCACGACGCTTTCTCGACATAACCGGTTTATGTCCAGTGGGAAGATAGCCCGAGATCTCATGAATACTACTGGGACAAGGGTGTGCCTCAGAACCGTGAGAAATAGGCTTCGCGCGGCAAGGCACACTTGATACTGAACTCCTTGTGAATTTTGACGCCTTACCCCTAACGTCTTTCAGGCAGTACAGTGAGGTAAGGCAACAGGGTTTTGACAATTTATTGTTACAAACTAATTGAAAACTAAATGCTTTATTCAATTATGTACTTGGTTTAAGTCAAATTGATATAGTTTCAATAAACCAGTGAAATATTTCCGAACTTGCTAAACTTTTTTCTCTCAGTATATTTACTATACGGCAAAAAAATCATATAGCTGTTCACTTCAGAATCTTTAATGCATTATATTTCCTGTAGATAGAATAAAGCAATTACATTCTTCAGACCTACATCCCTTTCTCAGTTATAGTAAAACAGTCGAAAGTACCAGAGAATATTTCGTGCACCTTCGTAAATATTCCTAAATATTTTAAAAAAGATTTGTGTAAGGTCACATACATGTATTTACGCTTCTAATGAATGTTCACAAAACAATACGCTTTCTGATAACGCTCTGAGTTCGTCACACTTCGGAAAGTATTTGTGATAGATAGTTCTCACAAACTTAAAAGTCGTTAAATTTCAACTGTTATTGTAAACTTTGGTCAATACTTACAGATTTTAAAATTTTATCAAATTTGCAAAGCTTCGTGCAATCAATTTGCTCAAAAGAACCCTATAAATGTCCACAAAGTGTATAAGTCTTACCATTTGGTTCAACTGGTTCAGCGTGATGTTTGTGAAGATTAATTTCACATAGTGCTGATGATTAAAATCTATTATCCATGAATAACAGTAGTCACTTCCTGTTAGATATGGATAGCCTATAGACATTATTACTGAAGCCTTTTGAACATATAATGCGTTCGTAATTATCGTTGTATTACCCTCTATAAAACTTGGAAACAGGTCAACAGCATCTGAAGGAAACATATATTATCAAATATTAGGTTACTTGTTATGCTTTTCTTTTCCTATTGTTTATTATTTCTATAGTAAATAAATAAAATGTTTCAAGTGATTAATATAGGGACTGGAACTACCAGTTAATCAGCCGAAGACATACTATATGTTAAATATAATTTAATTTTTATACGGTCTCTGTTCAGGTTGGTTGTGTATTGAGTCTTATACATTTCCTACCTAATACTTAGCAGTGTGTGTAAAGTTTCGTGCTAAATGAATCAACGTATTTTGAAGTAAAATCAAGAATTCAAGATAAATATCAAGTTAGGATCTGATTACAATTAATTGTTCTATATGAAACGGAATATCAAACACAGAATGAAGGAATCTAAAATGATGAAAACTCCGGAAAACTGAAAAGTAATCGAGAGCAATGAAACAAATTATCAATAATGAATGCAGACTCAGTTGATTTGTGTCTAAAAACGAGTTGTAATGAAAGGTTGAATATCTCTCAGTGCACAAGCAATTACTTGACTATTTCTATTCCAAGCTATTAAAGACACGACACAAATAGAGCAACACTTAAAAGCTGAACAACACGTTTAAAGCTGCAAGACATCCGATACATGCATTAAAAAGTAAAAACAGTTGCTCAAACTGGTGTTTATTGCTTTCACAATGTGTAATATTTAACATAAGGTATACGCTATGTCTAGAATTCAAATGACATAAAAATGTCAAGGCGCTGTTTATTTTTTAGTTAAGTATCTCTATTTTTATCCCATTTTTTGTTGGAAAATATCTCACCTATCGTACACGTTTTAGCTGTTAAATGTTTAATGTCAATCTGTATTGAGTCCTTGTTTGGTTCAATCTGTGGCGAGAAATTTTTGACATTGTCGTCATAATCTGCTGAGTGATCTATGGTCGTATCATCTTTATATTCGTTGAAATAGTTAATAGACAAATAATCACTTGATAAAGTGAAATCTGCACCGTCCCCCGAGATTTCGTCGTAGTGTGTATCACTGACATGTGTTTTTATTTTGTGGACACATTCCGGCGAGATTGGTATTCCTGTAATATTAAAATAGAACTGTTTGTGAAGCGAATGAAGCTTATTTTAAGAGCAGAACGGCCAATCTATTAGTTTTTTTTTTTTGTTTTTTTTTTTGTTTTTTGTATTGTTGTTTTTTGTTGTTGTTTTTTATGTTTGTTTATTTGATAAGGTTTTGAAAATGTTTTATTTTGATTGGGTTATGTTAATATCATATTCACTTCTTAGATATACAGTCCTATTACCTTTTTTATATTAACTCGAATATACCAACCAAATTTTCGTACGTCCTAAATAAATATCTCAATGCAGCACTTGCTGAACAGCTTTATTCAGTATCATAACAATTGTACTAAATGTGAGTCGAACGAATTGGGAAAAGAGTACTGTGTACATTTCCGGTCTACTTATTATGTGTTAACCGTTGATTTTGAGAAATATAAGAAAAGATATATGAAAAGAAATATGAATACCTGAAAGTTTACACCCATGAATTTCAAATTGAAGACATATTTCTTCCGCCTCGTCACTTTCATTTAATTCCAACTTGATTAAACGTGCAGTAACTGAGTTTTGAAGCAAAAATGATCTATTCTTGCGAGACGTTGATTGGTCAAAATCAGTTTTCAACTATAAAATAAAGCATAAAATGCGAAGCAGTAATACATACTTAGACATATTGAAACATATGCACGTAATTAGATTGTCCATCAGAAATATTATAAAATACTTGTTTTGACAAAATACTTAAAGACAATCATCAGTGCTGTTTTTTATGCGAGAAATGTTTAAAAATGAATGCATCTTAGCACATAAAACTTGACTCTTAATAGGTTTCGTTAATTTTTCATTTTGTTCTCTCAACGGATTCACCTCTAGTACATGTACAAAGATTCAGACTCAAGATTCAATCTTTGACGGCATTTTCATAGTCTTCTTACATGTAGGTTTAATATGAAGATGTCACAGGTGTAGAAATATACCTATATTATCCCTATATTCTCAAAATACTAATACCATAATTTAAGCAGTATGACGTAAAATTGTAAATCGAATATTCACCTTTTCTCTTAACTAATCTTTTGTTATTAAAATGGTTTTATTTGATGCACATATGTTGATCAGTAAGATGAAATCATTAAATTAACTATGATAAAAGAATACAATTTGCTACAGTTGAAAGTTCATTTGATCTGTCATGTCATGGTCCCAGTGTCCTAGTCGTTAGAAGAAAGTGTAGCGCCTCGGCAACAAAGACACAGAAAACTTGCATAACCGAGGTGTTTGCACTGAACAATGAACACCGAAAAGGTTTTGTTTTAGCCTTGGAGACGGAAAAGAAATCATGGTCAGGTGAATACAGTTAATGGGGGGAATAATAACTACATTTGTTTGTTTCAGAAAGTATTGCACTTTAAATGCCTTATCCGATGCCGCGTTCCAATGCAGCAATTTGACACTAGCCAAACCTGTCGCGCGTCTTCGTTTTCGAAATCATTTGTTAAGTTTGCAAATCTTGAAAAATTTCGATTTAACAGATTTGCCTGTTGGAACATCAGCTTGATTGAAGGATCATGAGTTGTAAAGAAAATGGCATACATTACCTTCTTTATACTGATAACCTATTTCCAATGCCTAGTACTTTGACAGACTTTATCGTCAAAGTCTTGTGTTTTTCTTTCGTTTTATCTTATCAAAAAGAACACATGTTTGTCAACAGTGTTCGCATTTTCAAAAGACCGTGCATTGAAATTTGGAAACTGTTTAAGCAACATCTTACTGCATTGTACGCGAGTCTTTTTTCTGCTCATCTTTCAGCAAATTCATTTATCACAGATCTTTCTTATTAAAAAACATAATTTTAAATCACATTTGAGAATGGTATGAGCTTCTACTATTGCGATTTCAACCATACAATTTGCCTTGCGGTGTATCTTACAACGTTGTTTACTATTTCTTTGACTTGAGCAAACATCTTAACAAACGTTGCTTGGGGGAATACAGTCATTGGGTGAATGTTCTGTCGAAATTTACGCACATTTGTGTTCATTAAACCAACGATAAAAAATGCTTAATTTTGTCCACATACAGAGCGGATTTCACCCTATGCCAAGGAGGCAACGATTTTTTAAATTAAGACCTGTTTAAATGGCAAACTTTGATCTTTTACTAACCATTTTGTATTGTACTATACGAGTAGTCAATCGACAACGAGCTATAAAAATAGCTGAAGTAAACGGATTTTAATGCAATTCATTGTGATATCGATGTATACCTGGCATGTATATTTACGAAATAACCTTCATTTTCTTGTGGTTTTCGCAAAAAAAAATTAAAACGTTCTAGAGGCATTAATATATGAACATTCTTCGTAGATAGGTCTGGGTTACTTTGAGTTTATGCGGCAAGCATGAACAAAAACGAAACAGTGGCATGACGTAGTTAATGTAGGTAATCCTGAATCACATTCATCAATGCATTACTTATTAATGGCCTTTCATCATAATTGTCTTCTGTTGTATCAACTTTGCGCAAATAATATTTATGATAAGAACACAATATGTCTATTTAATGAAAAAGAAGGGATATGTCACATTTTCTAAATATATGAACGCCGTGATTAATGCGTAAATTTAAGTATTTTCATAACAAAAAAATATTTTTATCCAATACACTTTACAAAAATGGTAGATGCTGCATATCAATTCGATGCAATTGATATAATAAGATATCTATAGTAGATGGTCAAATTTGGTAAGATGGTTAGACTGTTTCCATAACTCAAGATATGCATGTGATTGTTTGACATAAATGTCAAACATTTCATAATAATCTAATACATTACCTTTTTGCTATAAATGTTTAAGTTATTTGTCTGATTCCCATACAGAAGATAGAATGAGTCCCAGCTTCCTCTTGAATGAATATTTGCTCCATTTGAAGCATATATTGTAACCCCTTCAATTTTCGTTACTACTATTAAATCAACCTAAAATCACAAATACACTTAAAATTATCTGTTCATTTAAATTACTGAGCACATGTTAAAATATTTAAACGTATAGTTTAATGATACCGTTTAACTAAAAAGCTGTTAAACAAAACGTAGATCATTGTACATGTAGACAATGAAAAGTTGCATCTTTTATTTGTTTATCTTTGGTTAAAAATACTGTTTGTCTTAAAAATGACATTCTACAACAACTTTATGATATTAGCAAGTATAACATATTTTTATAAACATGGCTTTTGATTTCCAAAATATTTCTTTTAGAAATGACACTGAACATATATCAAGAAAGTGTGAGTGATATGATGGAATTTAGATTTTCAAACCATAATCCAGGGATATGCATCCTTCACTTTATCATTGCACCAACCATCTGAGGAAGGTCTTAAATTGAAAGGTTGATAACGTTCTGACCTTGATGAGACAAATATTTGATTATTTTGAATACTCCCATCACTCATTCCAAGATCTTCATTACATAATTCTCCATCCACTGTAAAAAGGTAACACTGTTTTGTTATTTTATCATATCTACCACTTTAAGTGTAAATTTAATCCACCTTTTTAACTATAAAATACGTTTGCGTTTAGCCAGCTATTCGATAATTTTTTTCATCAAATAGATTACTGAGCAATAATTTCTTTAAGAGAAAAACTTCGAATTCTGTTTACCCCCTCAGGAGTCTACACACTGGTTTAGGTCTTCGCACAGGATAGTATATAAGAGGGGGAAAATCATGGCGGAAAGCATGCCCTATAGGTGCCCCTTTTTAGGGTATTTTGTCGTCCATTTTGTTATCATGTAGCAATTAATTCTCGATACTACTTGGCTTGCTTAGAGCAGGCGGTGAACGGGTTGAAATGGTCAATTTAATATAAGAGGGGAAAAAATCATGGCAGAAAGCATGCCCCATAGGTGCCCCTTTTTAGGGTATTTTGTGGTCCATTTTGTTATCATGTAGCAATTAATTCTTTATACTACTTGTCTTGCTTAGAGCAGACGGTGAACTGGTTGAAATGGTCAATTTAATTGTGTATGTCGAGGAACGGCGACAATTATCGTTTGTATTTGATGGATTTACTACACTCTCGCCGTGGTTTGTGCAATAAAATTAAGTTAATAATATAACGAATCAATATGATTGTTTCCTAGACAAAACCAACAACCATTTTCTAAATAAGATTTAGAGTGAATTCAGCATTTGATACTGACAAACATTAAGTTTTAACAACTCTATAAAGAATGACAACCTAAAGCTTTTACATATAGCAGTTGACTTGATGAAATTGTATGTCAAAGAGAAAGTGAAACAACTGATGTAGTATATTGGAATTGAAAAAAACAGCCAATTAACGGAGTATCAAAAACTATATACTATTCTTACTGCGTCCTCTATGGATCTTGCTGTATGTTGGTGTTTTTGAAGATGTGATTTCTATACAATAAAAGTACAAACTATGCATAATGTACGATATTTTACAGGCACACTCTGTAGGTCATGGTAAAGCAAATATGAAGTTATTTATGCATCAAAAAGATATTGTTGAATTAAATATAACTAATATGAAATTTTAAAAATGAACGATTTACAACATGATATTCGATTATTAGACGAAGCACAGCACATTTCATTTAAAAGGCCAAATTAATCAAAGAAATGCTTGTAATTTCAATTCTCAAAATGGGTTCGACTTTAGTGTCCTGTTATAGTTAATTCCAAACGTTTTATCATGGGCTATTAAGCTATAATATCGTTTGCTTCTGATACATTTCAACAATAAGTTCAGTTATAGTGATTTGGTAGTTTGTATAGAAGTCAAAATATCGTATTGTTTACATTGTGCTACATTTATAACGAATAATTTCATATCAAATTGTACTTTCTTCAGGTGATAAGGACCCAACATGCTATAAATAATTTATTCATGAATTACTTAACACATGTTTATTCTTTCTATTTATTTTAGAGGGTAAATTTGCCTTTAATTTAAGAACTATATTATCCAATACATGTACATCATAATATAATGAAGAACAGCTTACTGGATTCCGGATCCACTGTATAGATCTTAAATGATGCTTGACTCATCAGTTGCGATTTCGATGCTGACAATGATGAAGTCAAGACTTCAAAATCCAAGGCGATGTAACGAGCACGAACATGTCTGAAAAAGAAGTATAATATTTTCCCTTAACCCTTTACCCCATATATACGCGAAACAACGCACTTTCGACCCCCATTCCCTTTATTAGGTCTGAAATAGTGAAAATGTCCTCTTTGGGCCCAAAACACATGTTTTCGTTATACAAATGTTGCTAAAAAGAGTGAGCACTTTTCGGAGCCGCCCACAAATCCAAAAGATACATCAAAGGGTTGCTAGAAGTGGGATGTGCCCTCTTCTGTTTTGGGGATTGATAGGGGGCGGAGTCCCCCATATCGCCAAGAAAATTTTGACCCCAGGTTGATCATAAGGTTACGTGTAACCAACGCTGGAAAGCCTTTGTCTCTATCTCAATCCCATGAGAAGTTACAGCACTTTGAAATAAATTTTGATGGAAAAAATCGAGGCAAAATAGTGATTTTTTGCAATTTTGAGAGATGTCCCCTTGTTGCCATGGTAACAGGAAATTTTAAGACTGAGACTGTTGTGACAAAGGCAATGGTCCATTCAACATTTGTGCCAAGTTTGATTAGTATTGAAGCATTTTTCATAGTTTCATAGCAGTTTGACCTTGCAACAGGAGGCTTTTCAGTGAAAACGCCCATTTTTCACAATATTATTATGAGGGAAAGGGTTAATGTTGTATTGTTTTACGTGAAGAGGGATTATATGCGGTTACAACTTGTGTAAGTAAAAATGAAAACTCTTTTTCTAAAATGTAAAAGAGAAATCTAAAAAAGAGAGAAAAAATATAGATAAATAGATTAAAAAATCAACTTCCTTGTTTAGATTGCCTATAAGGTAGTATTACTTCAATGGCGCTATTTTACCTAAATGACAGCATTCCCAAACATTGATTTTTATCGTTTAATAAGATTGTTATCATTAAAAGTATACTAATAATTCAAAATCGCACATTTTTTATTTCTATTTATATTTTTTAATTTATTTTTAAGGGTTGGGCTACAATAGATAAAGCCTCACATATAGATGAAACTATTTCTATTAAGAAAGTCTTTTCAACCGACTTGCTAAAACCGAAAAGTGACTTTACTTTGCCATCATTATAAAGCCTGCATGCAGTATACAACGCACTCTTAACCTGATATTAATAGATTAATAATAAAAATAGATTAAATTACAAAACACATGTTTACCCTTTCATTAGAGAGTGAAAACTGTGTTTATTTGTAAAAATTAATCTGCCTTTAATTAAAGTAATAATTGAGATACTCGGTAAACAAGGGGGTTTTCACTTCTAATTCCGTGGTACAAACTAACTTTTACAATTAAAAATTGGTGAAAACTACATTTACTTAGTTCTCACTATATATCGATTATAAGCGAAAAACAAATTACGGTACGGTTTTAAGGTCTAGTTGCGCTAAATTTAAAGTTGTAACTTTAAAAGTTTGTTTGTACCCCCGCATTAGCTGTGATTTTTTTTCCTACAGTAGGTCTATACAGCACCTTAAGAACAAGTGATCATTCTTGTATGTATAAATGCACTTCAGTGCTTCACCATAAAGAAATCCCCAATTCATCTCGCTATGCCAGCATTGTCGGAATTTTTGCTGTAAAATAAATGTTAAAAATACTTAGTTTGCTTCATAATACAGGATATGACAAAAAGTGATTTTATGTTTAGGTACAATATACACTTGTGATCATAAAATACATAATTTTCTCATGTAAATGTAATGTAATCAGAATGGATGAGATTGTAAGGGCACAACCAACCTAAATTTTCGTTATCTTTCTCAGGTGATATTTATCTCACATGTTCATTGTCCACTTTTGGGATCATACAACATGTGCATTAAATGTATCTTATACATAATTTATGTGATAAAAACGTTTGACTTGAGAATATATACGCACAATAAAACAAGTTCGTCGTATACGAATGTATAACGGAATAAAATCTAAATAAAAAAGAAATGAAATTTTCAACGACACCGTAAATTTTTTGCACTGGTTACTTATTAAATTGGATAAAAACAATTTAACTTTTCTTAAGATTCTCATTAAAGATACATTTAATCTGCTACTGCTAGTTTCACAACAAAAATTATGTTTTATGAGCATGACCATTCAGCTGGTATTATGAGCAAATTTATCGATAAGTAAGCTTCAATTCATTTGACTCTTAAAGTTAAAGTGCATTGATCCATAATAAAAAGTCTGTTATAGAGTAAAAATAGTATTTGGTGTCAGGCATAACAACAAACCATGGAAGAGTATAATACAATGATTTATTTTATGATTTTCAGTTGATTACTGATTTATCCGTGAAAATTATATTTGATACTTTCACAGTGGAAATTATCAAAATATAATTTCACACTTTCTGAAGATGTGGTACACCAATTTTATTTTTGCTGACAATTCTGATAATGTCAGGCTGTTCAAAGAAAAGCAAAGCTGAACCTAATTGTCAAAAGTAATAAAAAGAAGAAAATTTACTTCTATTCATTCAAATTACCAATATCAAAATATCATCTCTTATTTTTTGTTTCATTTATACAGTCTGAAAAATACATTCACATGCAAAACTGCTGTTAATGACATTTGGTCATATTTTAGTATCCTATGAGCAATTACTGCCGTATGTTTTATGAAAACTTGAAAAGCAGTGATAGTCATCAGCCCAAAGAATAAGTAAACAACCCAGCGTTCGTTAGGCAGCCTTTCAACTTTCCAAGTTTTCCAATTTCAAAACCGCTTTAGGAATGTTTACATTTCTGTCAACACTTACTTATTTTCTGTTACAATCCTCAAATACATTTTCTTACTTTAAAAAGGTGTATGACTAACAAATCCAAATGATATCCCTCTGAATCAAACACAATTATTTCCCCCCGTGAAATACAACTTTAAAAAATGGCGGCCGCTTACATTTAACGAAGCCAGGTCTAAAATAAATTCGCAATAAGTAACAGAAATATTGATGGATGGTTGGCTTTTTATCCTTCCATAAGTGCTTGTTTTTATTATAAAAACAAGCGATCATTCATATTTTGTTAATAAAATGAATAATATAACCGCCATTTAACGTTGATTGTCGAACTTATTTTTCTGCCCAAAACTTCCTGACGTGTATTTCATGCGAAATTCGACTGATACATGTACATAATAGATGCTACCAGTGGGGAAATCAGATTTTAATATCAAAATAAATATCAATGAAATTTCGTTTTATTTTTTTAAGCATAAAATGAAAAGAAAATTTGTTTGTTGTCGTGTAAGATGTTATTTTATTTCATCTTGTGAACTTCGTCTTACTTCAAAATTTCATCTTACACAGAAACAAACAAATATTCTCCATTTATCTATTTAGCAGATAACAAATAGTTCTAGGAAAAATATTATCTAACATATAACTATGCTAAATTACCTAGAACTTCATCAGCATTTTTTATGTTATGTTTTATAAGAATATCCAAGGGATAAATTTCAGTGGTTTTTATCAACACAAAAAAATATTTAAGGAGACTTTGTCCCTTGTAGAACACTTAAACGTATTTCCGGCTAAGGACGATATAAAACATATAGTAGTTTATGGTGACAAAAAGTTTTGTATGTCTTTGTGCATTCATTCTATATTGTTTTACGGAATTTAGTACGACTTAAGGAACAGACTTTTTTGGGAATTTATTTTAGCCAATCAACAAACCAGGTTTTATCACGTGGTCTGATCAACCAATCAAAATTAACAAGCCATTAGTCTTTGTTTACTTTGCGTTCGTGAAACGCTCGCTAAAATTTGTCTTATAATTTTGGAAAAAACAGAAGTTTTGGATACATTAAAGGTTATCCATTACGTCTTATGTTACTCATTAACTTTCCTGATATTCAGGACTAAATATTATTGGGCGGCGACCCCGTTTTATAACTTTAAAATGGGCGCAAAGGTGGCAGTCACTAGCATTGTGAATTAATTTTAGTTGGATTATGTAATTCTCGTAAATGAGACTTCGAACGTGACTTCCAACGAGGTTCAACATGACGGCACCCAGTTCGCAGAAGATACAAATTTTCGGTCACTCTTTCGTACGGCGTTTGAAACGATTTATTGTGGACTCAAAATTACACAACTTTCATCTTCATTTGGATGGGTGTCCCCTGATACAATATTCAGGTTTCCCAGGTGCAACTGTGCGGTCAGTACGGGATCATTTAGATGCAGTTGTTGATTTTCAGCCAAATATATTAGTTCTTGTTATCGGAACCAACGATATTTTTAACCCTAAGGAATCTCCAGAAAGTGTTACAACACACATTTGTGATTTAGTGGACACGTTACTTTTCGTTATTGGAGTTGAAAAAGTCATAGTGTTTCAGACTTTACATAGGTTAGATTCAATGGGACAATCTCGTTATCAAGTCGATTCAGCATGGTTCAATGAAAGAGTGGACAATCTCAATATGCTATTAACAGACAGGTTGAACAGTACTGACCATAGAAGATCTTATTTATGGAAGCTAAAGGGTTTCTGGTCCACAGAATGTAAAGCGAGAAACTTTGCTGCAGATGGTTGCCACCTATCCCATACAGGTCAACTCCGTTTTATAGGCAATATACGAGCAGCTATTGTCGCCGCCTGGAAGAAATCCATTTGTTAAGATGCGTACACATTTCATATCATATAAAAGTTTATTTTATATGCCAGCTTATATTTAAAAATTCTTATTCGCATATTAATTATTGTAAGAGAATTTTTTAAACCTTCAATGAGATTTTAAAGATCTTATCTTGACAGCCTATACCACATACACATGGCTAAGATTTCAAAATATAACCACCTTCAACAATATTTATCGCATAATTTGGTTATCATGGTTTTATTTATATTTCATTGATCTATTCTAAGCCTTGGGATACCTTGCTATAATTTTATTTTTTATACTTTATACATCTGGCTTTTCTTTTTACTTCACATTTTGACTAGTTGCGTCGCAGTTCTGCTTAGCAGTATTTGTATTACAGTTGCATGGCTTAGTTGACACGCCTTGCCTTTTTTGTTCAATTTTAAGTGCAGTCACTTGGCATTGCTTAGTTTATACGCTCTGCCTTTTATGTGATTTCACATACAATTTACCGGGTGCAGGGCTTAGTTAAAACGCTCTGTTGCTCGCTTGGCATTTCTTAGTTTACACGCTCTGCCTTTTCTGTGTTTTCACATACATTTTACCGGGTGCAGGGAGGGCTTAATTAAAACGCTCTGTTGCTCGCTTGGCATTGCTTAGTTTACACGCTCTGCCTTTAATGTTTTTTCACAGACATTTTATTGGGTGCAGGGCTTAGTTAAAACGCTCTGCTGCTCTTACGTCTGCATTTATTTATGCTTGGCTTAGTTAACACGCCTTGCTTTGTGATTGTCCGTTCTGGGATAGTGTAGGCTTTGCTTAGTTTACACGTTATACCATTTTCTCATTTATCGCCACTACTTTATGCTAACTACTTTTCTTCTGGTTTCTTGGTAATCATAGTTATAAATTCAGATCACTTTGTTAGTGCTCTTCATTATGTACGGCAATCATCTTATTTATAATACTTTGCCTTCAATATTTATCATGCGGGCCTGCAGTCAAGCTTTTTTTTCGCATTTAGGGGCTTTAATTTTCAGTTTATATCAGTTTTTAATGATTATTTGGTGGTTTTTTTTTGCAGATGAAGCCTGGCAAAAGAAAGGCAACAAAAGCCACTTGTTCATGCTGCCCGCCGCCTCCAGCAAAAAACAGTACAACCAAGTCAAAAACTAGAGTTAAGAACAATGTTAGTGCTACAATAACCAATACAAATGAAGTGCCATCTACATCTGCCAGGCAACAATCACATGCTATTAATTTAGATCGGGCCAGTCTTGATGACAATATTTCAGCTGCTGACAATATTCAAGCTGCTACAGATAACAGAGACGATCCCACAGGACAACAGCAAGTGCAAACTGCGGAAGAATTTATGCTACCTCTACTGGACAAAACATAAATTATGATTAGAAAATGCCATGGAGAAACACATGAAAAATGAGATGACTTGAGCAGGAATATCTCTGAAGTTTCCGTTTACGTTCGATCATATATGTTTTTCTATAAAAACAATCAAGTTTAACAGAATGCCGAAGTGGCTAAAGGTCAAACACAAAAAAATATGGCACGTTTAAAGCTCTTCAAGGTACAAACTGATCAATAAGATAATACAAGGTGATCAATATCCTTATTTTCATTTACAAGTTATACTAAAGAAGCCAGCGTCATTTTAGAAATAAAATATAGTACAAGTTTCAACATAAAACATACATATTTACAAACGAATACACGTTTTTTAAAACAATAAATTAAACACATGCTTTAAAATATACAATAAAAACATACACTCACCTCGTTTTTGTCATCGAAAACCATTTCAATTCTAGACACATGCATAGAACGCCGCAAGTCAATTTGATACCATTCCCAGTAAATTTTCTTTAATTTTACACCTTAAATAAATGGCATCAAAATGCTTATTAACAACACAGAATGTTATTGTTTAAATTTCTATTTTTACCTTGGTTTACAAACGTTTTTTGAATATTTTGATGCTGAACTTAAATATGAGTATATTTAACCCTGCAATATTTTGTTTAACTGGGATGTATATAACTAAACATTGAATAATTGTTTAACTGGTTTGTTAAAATCATACCGTTACGTTTTGAATTAAGGTTCCAATACACGTCGAAGCCCGAAACCAACTCTGTAATATAAATCATTTAAATTACTCATATTTATAAGAAAAATGATACAGGTGGTACTTAATTCCCTTTCAATGGTGGGATTAAAGAAAAACAATACCAAAAACTAATGGAAATAAAATTTAAATGGCAAAAATACATCTCTTATAAGTCAAGGAAAATAGCACGGATTATGAAGGTCTGATGCCTTGAGTTTGAAGGAATACACATATCGAACAATATCTACTTACTAATTGAAAGAAAACATATAATTGTAGTCATTAAATATGTGACATATTAGAGAAATACAATAATTTTCAAGTCATCTACATCTTATGATTGATGGCAAGTAAATTAAAACATACGTGCCGCCCCGTCAACTAAATCATCAGCAACTAAAACAGACAAATGTTCATGTAGTATAAAGTTTATTCTATGATACAAATCAAAGTCTATTAAACATACTGACGCAATTGTGAATACATTCAACATATCAAGTGTCTCGACTGTGAATTAATTTTAACATAAGATGATGTTACAATCTCTTTTTCATTGTATGTTAAATTGACTATGAATATTGCATAACAAATTCAACATGCCATCCTAACATGTTCTTTCGAGCTTTTTCCATTGAAATTTATGTCAGAAACAGACAAGTCTATGGCATTTAAATTTGTAAGTATAACTCTCTTATTAGATAAAGATAAAGCTCAACAACGGGTAAGTAAACTATATATTCACGAGGTGAGCTACGAACATTATGTAGTAGATAAACAGTAATGTAAGGTTTAAAATGTACGAGAAATGTTGTAACCTGGGACAATGCCGCAGAAATATTTTCGCTCTGTAGAAGAAGTGGACATTGGACACGTGGTTCCTTTCTGTAAGACAAATATTTATATATCGATCTTTAATATAAATTTATACATGACTCTTTTCAATATTCATGCAAATGGAATTCAAATAAATAAAAATAAGATAATATTGTTTATAAAATACTCATGAGTGGTATAAATAGTGATTGTTCTTATAAAACACTTAGATCAATTTAAGTCATGAGGTTATTGTTCAGAAGTGATTAGATGTTAATAACAAGAACAACCAGTGATCACATGTGTCGCCTCGTGATAACCATAACTCAGCAAAATATCATTGAACCTAAAATTATGTGTAATATATACAAGAATTTTGAGCTATCAATCAATCCTGTAAAGTTTAATTGAAAATGCATTAGTGGTATAACAGACGAAGTCCGGACAAATTTCAAAATCAAAATCATTAAAAGGCCAAAACTCTTACAAAACTCAATGAACCGCAAAATGTAGATGAGATGTACAACAAGACATGGCCTTGATCAGTCCCCTAACGTTTTTATAAATATGCACCAGTAGTTTCTGAGGAGAAATCCAGACAAAATTCGGTGTAGCTGGCAACACAAAAGAAATATTCAAGGACAATAACTTAAGATCTTTCAAGTGAAAAGTCAAAACTTGATTATAATGCACAAGTAATAGACCTTATCAATAAATCTTGTAAAGATTAATTGAATTTGCATATGTGGTTAAGAGGAGTAGTCCGGACAATCTTAATTAACACCCTTTTTATTCAAGGGCCATAACTGCGCCAAATGGTATTCAAAAAAGTTTAAAAAAAGATAATACTGTTTATAGAATACTCATAATGATACAAATAATGCGAAGAACCCGTGTAATATGCGCATGTGCTTCACCTACCAATAAATCCTGTAAATGCTTATTGAAATTGCATTAGTGGTAAAAGAGGAGTAAGTCGGAACAAACTTTAGAAAAAATAGAAATAATTACATGGCCATAACTCAATGAACCTTTTAGAAACCTATTACATACACAACTAGATTTGATACTGATCATTCCTGTGAAGTTTGAATGAAATTGCACAAGTAGTTTTTGAGAAATAGTCCGGACAAGCTTCTGTTTATCTGGCATCACACATAAATACCTTTTTTATTCAAGGGCCATAACACGATTAAAAATCATTCAACCGGAAAACCAGTGCAATATGCCCAATAACTTGAGCTACAGATTAATTATGTATGGTTTCATTTACATTGCATTAGTAGTTTAAGAGGAGGAGTCCGGACAAATTTTGAAAATAACAATTATAAAAGGGCCATGACTATGACAAAATCATTGAACCGGAAAATGCCAACGATATGCACAACTATACTAGGTACTGATTATTCCTATAAAGTTTGGATGAAATCGCAATAGTAGTTTATGAAGAGTAGTCCGGACAAGTTTTGTGACGTACAGACAGACGACGTAGAAGTAATCCATATATCTCATCATTGCTCCGTAGAGGCGACACAAAAACAAGGCGAGATGAATATCAACAAACAATGCGCATGTCTCTAAGTCTGAACTGTTCTTTTGATTAAACTTTATTTGTGAGGTACATTTCATCAAGCTTTCCGTTAATTCGAATATACATAACATTTTACCAAAATTTGGCAACATATCAGTGTTCTATGGTAATCGAAAAATTTGATCAAGAGCGCTATTCAATTAAACTTGCAAAAAAGGTGTGTTTTCCTGACCTTATAACGGAGAAAGTTTGCCATTGGCGTTACCTTTATCAATTTGAAATTTGTTTTCAGCATTCCAAACGTAACATTGCTTTCGATTACATCTGATTCTGTGTAGATTTTGTCACACGTCGCTATACTCAATTTCTTCATCTTTGATTTTCCTGTAATACAAACCGTTTTCATAGAAAAATACAAACTAACTTCACAAAATAGTTTTTATATCGACACATACATGATATAATTATATGATAATTTATAAAATACTGCAAATGTGCTGTTGATGTTACTATGCATTTATGTAAAGCTAAATGTGTCATAATATTATACCTGTCTCGTAAACTGAGATGTTCGGAATGATTCCGTACGAATCATATTCAGAGAAGGTTGTTTGTTTTTTTCTATCTCTAAAACCTGAAATGATTACAAGTATAATTAGCAACACAGAGCATTACTTAAAGAGCATCGCATAGGCGTAGCAATATACACCCAAATGCAATTTGTTTCAAGTAATTAAAATTTACAGTTATCAAGTATAATATATTCTGGATGTCGCTAATCGCGAGAGAAATTCTTTACAGGGCATTGTCCTAACATTTAATAGTTGTATTATCAAGCTTTAGATGTTTACATTTTGTTAATATCCAGAAAAATAGTTATTTTTTCCAGGACTTTTCATTGGTTAATTGAGGAAAAACTCATCACCATTTTTGGATCTAGCTTTTTGGTGTTTTTGCACACGGCTCTAAAGATATTGACTTTGGGCGTTGCCTGAATTTTTTGGAGTGAAAAAGAGACTTAAATAGAAGTTACATCTAAAAAGTAATAAGAATACAAGAGAAGAAAAATAATGTTAAAATTTTGGATAATCAAAAATATAGAACTGTTAAAAACTGTTTAAAAGGTAGAAAAAATAAAAACTGTGAAAAGTTGAACTGTGTTAATTTTAATGTGGCGGAAAAACAGATAATATATCACGGGTCGCTACATAAATTGGTCCCGCGAACCGGATAGAGGATACAGGATAGATGACTGTTCCGGATAACTGTAAAGCAAAATATAAATAAACGGATTATATATATATATATATATATATAAAGAGTTAAAAAAATATTATAGTAAAAACTGGGAAATACATATATGGAATTAATTGGAAGGTTATTCGTCCTAGTCATAAACAGTCATTAAATAGTTTTTAAAAAATCACGGAACAAAAGCAGTGAAGTGTATAAAACAACAATAACTACTATGACAAAAACTACAACAAAGAAAAATAAACAGCATATTTAAAAAAATAAAAATCAGGAAAAAAAATCAGGCGAAAAGTCCAGGGATTTTCCAAGATCATATTTCTACAAAGATTTCATGAAAAAAGGCCCAAGTAAAAATATATTCGGCATAAGCTCTTCATTATCGAAAGGGTTGTTCAAAAAGTTAAGCGTAAAAGAAAAGTATAAATATTTAAAAAAGAAAAAAAAATGACAGAAAAAAATATGACAGCACAGAACCTATTAGTGAAATGGACTCACATTTGAAATTGCGGTATGTTAAAGTCGTATGGACACGTTTTAGAAATAAACTGAAAGATGAAATTGAAAAAGCATCAGAATTGTAAACCGGAGATTCTGAGGAATATGTTTTGAACGGAAAAATAGAAAGTGCTTCGTCATTCATGGACAAAATTAATTTATATCGAGAAAAGGTAGAGAAGCAAAGTGAAAAACTAGTATTATCAATGGTAGATAGCGATGAAATCGATACGATTGTGGATGATGACTGCAGTTTGTGTTCCAGTGCAATGGACATATATGTAGAATTGAAATATTTCTTGAGTAAGCTGTATCATGCAAAAGAAAAAATAGAAGAACAACCACAGGAAGATACAGACACCCATATGTTAATACAACTACAACAAAATATGCAACAATTGATATATTCACAAATGAATCAGCAAGAACTTGCAAAAAGGGCAGAATACGAAAAATTGTCAGCAGTAAAACTACGTATAATAGATATGATATCTTTCGCAGGAGATAAAACAAAATGGATTGAATTTTGGGATTATTTTCAAAGTGTTATTCACAAAAACAAAACAAAATATCAGATGTTGAAAAATTTACCTAGTTGAAAGGAAAGTTATATGGGGAAGCAAAAAGGTCTATCAGTGGATTAGCAATGACGAATGACAATTACCAACAAGCTATTGATATTTTAAGAAAAAGATTTGGAAATTTTAAACAAATCATAGAAATTCACTACAAAAGATTAATCAACATTCCACCAGTTATAAACAAAGTCAGCAATTTAAGGATTTTCCTATATGAAGTAGACCAACATTTTAGAAGTTTAAAAGTATTTGATCAAATTATTAAACAAGAAATTATAGTATCATTTGTCAGGTCAAAACTACCGGGAGATGTCTTGTTGCACTTGGAAGTGCAGAAAGGTGTTCATGAAAAATGGACAAGTGAAACTTTGAGCAAACAACTTAATGATTTTATTGTTGCAAAAGAAAGAGCTTTGAAAGAGTCAGCTAATCAAAAATCAAAGTGTCATTAACAGTACAGTTTATGGAGGAAACAACTTCAGAGGGAGTCGTACGTCACATGACGTTAATGATAGAATGAAACAAAGCATAAAACAAAAATCAAATGAATAATCTCATCTAAAAAAACACATCTGCTGCAGCACTTACAGCAAGAGCGAAAACTGTTTCTAGATATCAACCACTGAAAAAATGTCGCTACTGCTCAAATATTCATTGGAGTGATTAATGTAAAATTATGCTACCGTAGTTTATAGAAAGAAATTATTAAAAAAATCATGCTTCTAGTGTTTGAGGGTCGGTCATCAAGCAAGAGAATGCAAAACAAGAAATAAATGCTACCATTGCAAGATAGTCAATGTACATCACAGCAGTTTATGTCCGCAAACATTTTAACCGCTATTCAAATCTTATGAAAACGTCCAAATGGTCGAAGAAAATTAGAACGAAAACCATGATTACCCAAATATTGAGCCAGGTCTTCTTTCACCAAATGAAACAGTTTTGATGCAAACAGCAACAACACAAATACGAAATAAAGAAAAAGAAAAATTTGAAAACGTCAGCTTATTGTTAGATTCCGTCACAGGACATATGTTTCAGAAGACTTGGCAACTAGATTAAACCTAAAATCTACAGGAGAACAAAAAAATACAGGTGATAACTTTTGGGAGTAAAAATCCAAAGCTTATCAAGACAAAAACCACAACATTACAATTAAAAAAGACAAATGGACAATATATATCAATTACTGCAAACATTGTACCAAATATTACAGGAAATATCAGTAGAAAAAAATATAAACTTGACGTCACAGAAAAATTATGAACAATTGACTCAAAACCTTACAACGACAGATTGTTTACCAGCTGAAAGTGAAACTGACAGATTAGACTTGCTAATTCGAAATGATTATTATTTGGACATTGTAAAATCAGATAAAATTGAAGTGCAGTCTGGACTCTATCTATTGTCATCATGTTTATGATGGATATAAACTGGCAGATCAAAAGTAAATGAAGATGAAATGTCAAATCACACTGATGTGAACATGTTGATTCTACAATATTGAAGTTCAGAATCAAATCTATTCACCAGCGTAGATGAAGCTTTGCCAACAAAACATGAATTAGAAGATTTATGGAGTATTGAGTCACTTAAAATCAAACCTGTTGAAAATTCCGAAGATGGATATCATGTCAAATTTTAAGGAAACATTACAAATATCATAAGGACGGTATTATGTGAATTGGCCATGGAAAGAAAACAGGAATGATGTACCTACCAACCGTGAACTTGCATTAGGGAGGCTTTAATCAACAGTAACAAGACTACACAAACGACATTATTTGATGGAAAAGCTATGATAACGTTATAAAAGATCAGTTACAAAAAGATTTAATCGAAAAAAATTGATAATACATCAGAAAACAAACAGCATTAAACATTATCTGCCACACCATGCTGTTCCTTACTCCCGAAAAAAACAACTACAAAATTGAGGGTCGTTTATGATGCATCGGCAAAGACAAAATCAACAAATAAAAGTTTGAATGACTGCCTTTACCTTGGAACCATTATGATACATGATTTATGTCAAAAGTTATTGAGATTCAGACTACATCATATATGTATAGTTGCAGATATTGAAAAAGCATTTTATCAAGTAGGATTACAGACAAAAGCTAGAGATGTCACAAGATTCTTATGGTTAAAAGATATTGAAAAGGGAATGTCAGACATATCAAATGTAGAAAAATATCGATTTTGCAGAGTGCCTTTTGGAGTTATATCTAGTCCATTTCTATTAGGTGCTACAATTGAATGTCATCTTGACTCTTTTGAAAACGAAATTGCATCAAAACTGAAAAAATGTTATTTACGTTGATAATCTTATCACAAATACAATGACAGAGGGGGAAGCAATAAATTTTGTACAATTATTCGAAAAGAATGTTCAATGAAGCGTCAATGAATTTGAGGGAATGGTAAAACAAATAACGAAAATGTAAAAAACTATATTCGTTCGGAAGATAAGTCAAATTCTAGAATTAGCAAGGTACTTGGACACATGTGGGACATTGAAAATGACTGACTTGGATTAGGCACTTCAAATCTGTTTAGCAAGAAACTAAATGTTACAAAAAGGATCGTATTAAAGCAAGTTGCATCAATATTTGATCCGTTAGGTCTGTTTACAATGCAAGGAAAGATATTTATTCAAAAAACTATGGAACAGAAAGCTTGACTAGGATGAAAATGTTAACGAAAGGGAATTAAATTGTTTGTTTGTTTGTTTCATTTTACACCTTTTCCCAACAGTATTTCAGTCAAAAAGAATGGAGTATAATAGAACAACACTTAGAAAAACTAGAGTCAGTGAAAGTAAAGAGGTGTCTTTCAACGTAAAACAATAAAAGCATGTAAAAAACTACTTGGAATGTTTTACAGATGCATCGAAGAAAGCTTATGCTGCGGCAATATATTTGATATAAGAAACTAAAAATACGAGGGAGTAAGATGCATGGAATACGTTACAAAAGGGTTGAAAATTAATTTACACGGAAGGTATTTGTTTCCAGACTCACAATGTGTGTTAAAATGGATTAAAACAGAAAAAGGACTTAATGTGTTTGTAAAAACAGAGTAACAGAAATAAAAAGTCATAGAGACATTGTATTTGGTTTCATATCTGCAAACGAAAATCCAGCTGACATTGGAAGTAGAGGAATTACAGCAAATCAGCTAGAATATTGCAAGTTATGGTGGCATGGACCTAAGTGGCTATCACAACCAATCAATTTGTGGAAAAACAACAAAGTGAATGAAATGATGCATGACTGTCCAGAAAAAGAATGTATGTCAAAAA